AGATATGGAAAATGCACCCAAATGACCCCAGAAGTGTTTTTTTTTTGTCTAAATCTCTCTAAAAAGGTCAAATTTAACTTGTTTTGCATCAATCTTGATACAGGGTACTTATTATATGTTATAGTTTGGATTCCTAAAGTTTTTAGTCTACTATCCCATCATTCAAGGGTGGTTTTCACTATAAGTAATTTTTCTTTTTGGATGGACACTATAATTTACATTTTTTTACTATGTTCAATTTGAATTTACTTTAAAATAAAAAAAGAACTATATTGATTCTGACTCTTCTACATCCAACTCACAGGTTTATCATTGCTTTGAGAGAAAAGATTATTAATTTACCCCTTTTAGAAATGAAGTTATAGTCATTTGTTCTGGGAATGTCATTTTCAAAACCTGGAAAACAGGCTCAGGGCTTGACAGGTTAAAGGTCACTGATGCCTCTCTGTTTAATATTTTTCAGTTTCCCTCTGCACTAGACACTATTTTTATCACGTCTTTTTTATGCTGTTCCCAATTCTTTCCTACATAATATCTTTATACCATTTTCTGGTAAACCCTGGAGCAGTTGCACTACCATCAACAAACAATAAAAATGTTTGCAACTATGAGCAGCTAATTTATTTCCTTGTGTTTTCCATCGTGGGAGATTAATGTCCATCGACACAGCACATTTAATAATCAAGGTTAGTTTCATGTATACATTTGAGAGAGGTCTCCTTATTGCTTAATACTGATCTGATGATTTTGTCCACTGGATTTTGTGTGTGTCATTGTATAATTTATACATGAAGTGGCCTTGACACTGAAAGTCACCAACATCTGTTAGCATTACTGTTGTCACAATCTGCTTTCTCAATACACCAAATGTATAAAGTGGAGACTTGGGATTGTAGATAGCCAGGCTAATAATTATCGGTGACCTAGTCCCACCTGTGTTAGATATTTTAACAAATCCAGGGGTGGACAATGTACTGTTGTCTACTGTATGGTGCCTATTGTTATCTCTTTCAGTTAAAAAAAAAAGATAACAATTTTAAAAAGATTGTTCATTAGGTTTCTATGATTTAAGTGTATGATTGTAATGATGTGTGTGTTAAACCTTGTCTTACAACTTCCAATGATTTTGTCCTTTCAATTAAGTTTATTGTTACAGTAGCACTTGAAGGGTCTCTCACGCTCGCTCTCTCAGGAATTTCATAATTATACTGAAGGAATAGCTTCATGAAATTTCTGGTCTGCAAATCTCAGAGTATTGTGTTGTGTTTATACATTTACTGAACACCAGTTATGCCAACAAAGCCTCTGTTTTCTAAGAAATGTTTATTACAAACCATACAAAAATAAACCAACGCTACCCTCTAATTCCTCATTAATTAAAAAATAAGCCTGCGCTCACCATTACATGACTGTGTTCTGCTTTGGGCTCCAAGACCTCCGAAAGCTAACACAGAGGAAGAAAATGAAACCTTTTCCAGTTTGCAGTGCAAATCCCTTCACCACATTTTTGAGAGAATTATGCAGGTTAAAAAGACCCTCCTAGAAGACTTTTGTTTAAAGAGCCATATGGGCGGTTTGACATGTTTTAACTAGGTTTAGGCAGAGATGATATTCTGTACAAACTGTGAAGTCCACTGAGACAAATGTAACATTTGTGATATTGGGCTATATAAATAAACATTGATTGATTGATTGATTGATTGATTGATTGATTGATTGGTTGATTGATTGATTGATCGAGATGGCTGCACAGATTTCTATGAACATTGTTCTGGTGTATTAGTCATCAGCTGCAAGTGGCCTAAATGGCAAAAGGGCTTCATTCCAGCAAACACTTTAAAGGAAATTACAAAAGAAAATGGATCTGTAATTATGAGGAGTTATCAACCCATGGAATTGTAAAAAGAAGATTTGTGTCACAAAAAGTACAACCAAAGTACAACAAAAGCGTTCACATGAACCGAATGTCCCTTTCCCTAAAAAAGCCGCTTGCATACATTAGTACACGTTCACAAAATAAAACATGTGCAGTAGCAGTGTTTCTGTGTATTGATGGCATCTTTAAATATATCATAAAAAGCTCTTCCTGTATACTCTGATTTGGGCATGAATTATTCACATAATTAAGTTAAGTGGATTTCACTTATATAGGGCCAAATCACAAAATACAATACACTTTTCATATAAAGCATTTCTAGACTGTACTTTTTAAAGCAGCACATAATCTGAAAACTGAAATTACACTTTGTTACTTTGACCGCGCTTTTTCTTTCGAAAAAATTACTGTCAGAAAAAGTGGTAATAATCGAATGGACAATTAGTTTTTAAGTGAGGTCGCAGTGCTCATTCCTAGTTTCCTAACGTCTACTGCCCACCCTTCATCAGTTCACTGCCACCCCCTATACAAAGCCTCTTATGACCACATTAATGCACCTAATTACCATGTCAATCACAAGTAATGCTTATTAATTGCCCCACAGAAAGGGGCTATTTCAAACAGTGAGAAGTGCTTTTAAAAGCCAGCTGAAAGGCTGACTCCTGCAGTCAGCCTTTCAGCTGCCTTTTAACCCTGCATGGGTTATGAGGGAGAGAGAGCCGTGTTTCAACCCTACTGCTGGCATTAGTCAATCTGCTGTCCAGATGTCTTCCACAGGTGACAGCTGCAATAGCCTAACAAGCAAATTAATCACGGGGCTTTTGTGGCGCTTCATTTTAGGGAAACTCATTTCGTTTCATAAAAGGCTTCATCTCGTGTGAAAAATGACAAATTGCGGCCGAGTGATGTGGAGGACCAAGCAGCCGGCTCTCATTTCTGTACCATGCCTGCAAGGTACTGAAGAATAGAGAGGCAGAGAGATAGAGTGGGGAGAACTGGGCCAGAACCAGCGACGCAGTAATGAAGTCCAGCTCTGCCCCCGCGGGCTCAAGTTCTGACGAGCCTCACAGGTGGCCCGGTCAGATTAAAAACCCAGCATGGTTATAAGGACTTGGCTTTGAATGAGGGGATACACTCTGTGGTCTGTCAGACATTGTCCCCAAATTACAACATGGAAGACATTTTGAAAAGCTGGCCCAACGAGGATTTGGTGGCAGGGAGTTTTCTTTGATTCAAACCCAGATGACTTGCTGTTCTTTAAAGCCTTTTTCTGGGTTAGTTGTGATGTTTTATCCCACAGATTAGTGGTGGTTTTTAGTATTTAGTTTGTGTGTTAGCCAATCAAGAAACATGGAGCATACGTTTTATTTTAGGGCCGGGAGCACAGCCTTTATGTTTGCTATAGAGTTGCTAACAAAAGTTTGGAGCAGAGAAATTACAAACTGTAATGTAATTTGCAGGACTTGTTGAGCGTGACTGGGTTCTCAATTGAACCCATTTAGTTTCACAAAGCGAGTGACCCCAGGACAAACCTAAAGTGTGCTCCACATTTTTGAGAAATTAATTGAACACAGCGTTTTTATATATATATTTAGAGGAACAGCTGAACTGTGGAAATATTTTCATGACAGAACATCAAGAAGGATTTCACATCACAACCTAAAGGTATTTCAAACTAAAGTATAGAATATTGAAACTTGCAGTGGCCGCACGGAAATAAAACAAATTAAACTTTTTGGATTAAAAAGCTTCACAAAGCCATTAATACAACATTTTGATAAATCCTTGAAAGCCGTCCAACAAAAACTGTAATTATCTTTGTCAGTGGAAAAGAAAAGAGCACAGGGAGGGAAGAGGATTACACTTCTTCACAACAGAGGAATGTTCTGTGTTTATTTCTCTTCATTTGTTGAAAGAAATTCTGGGGTGACGGATGTCAGCAACACTTTATAATTTAGCATAATTATCATATTCATTCTATTCTACCGGTACATATTATATTCTACCTTCTATTATTCAAATGATTACCCAAACTCCCTCTGATTGGGTAGAAACGCATATTCCTCCTCTTGAATATTTGACCATGGCGCATGGAGGGAGCTTTTGCTTAGTGGATCATTAAATTCTTTGACAATGCAAAGAATGTGTTGCAGGATGACTGAAAAGTTTTCAATTTGTTTATCTTTGTTCAAGTCCTCAACACACTTTCACAGTCGATGTATTCCTATTCAGAGACTTTTGACATCAATTATTAAGGTTGCTTCAGTGTAGATGTGTAGGAC